GGGGAGTTTAGTGTCACCTGACGTGCTTGCTCGTCGGGGGCACGATCGTACCTTCTGATGACGTATGATATGGCTGTTGGCGTGACGTGAGGGATCGAGCCTGAGCGGTCGTTAATGGGCCTCGGTTGACGTTGCGGCCCGTGTGGGCCAAGCATTGTCAGCCCGACAGAGACGTGGGGCGTCAGCTGATGTCACACAGGCCTTATCGTAATTATCATCCTCATCAAGCTTATTTTATATATTATTTGTATTGGAATATCGTGCATTCTTATAGAGTCATTGGATCTATTAAATGTCCTGTAGATTAATTTATTATGAACTAAATTATGCAATAATTATGGAATCTATTTTGTTCTGGTTATGGCCTTGTGTTCTTATGCAAAAACCATTATGGTGTTGTACTATCCTTGACTTTGTGATGAGTTAGGACATTATACTAACTATGTTTTTCAATTAGTTTCAAAATGGATATTGTTATTATTATTGATTTGGACTCTATTAGACTTAACTTTATCATTTAGAAGATAAATATAAATTAGATGTATTAGTATCAATTAATTTTTTAGTATAAAACTTATTTTGCTTGTTACAATGTTTTAGTCACCATAACAAAAATATTATAAAACCTATTTAAAAACACCGCAAATGATTTAAATAGACTTTTAGTATGAACTAAACTAACTTTAAACCTAAAAATATAATATTATAATAATATATAAATAATGATAATATTTTAATAACATTTTTAGTATTTTTTAATATACTAATAAAACACTGTAAATGTGATTAAAAAATCACGATAATCGAGTTATATGAAAACATTATAACAGTTAAAAAATAAATTTAAAATAAAAAAAGCATTTTAGGTATTTTCAAATCAGAGATATTGTTTAAAAAAAGTAAAAGAGGAAATACCTAAAACATGAGTATTTTATAAAAAAAATATCATATATATATATATATATATATATATATATATATGATTATCAACTTTGGATGGATAAATATATAAATTATCAACTTTGTATGGATAAATATATGCAAGTTTGCATGATCTAATGAATTTCTAAGATTATTTAACATGAATAATCACATAAAAATAATCCATAATCTAACAAGAACAAGAACAAGTAGTATTTGAAGTGTCAAATGAAATATTGTGCCAAAATCCCCACCTCCAAAAAATATATGAAAGAATCAGAATCAGAATCAGAATCAGAATCAGAATCAGAAAATACACACATTCGCAACTTCCATCTTCTTCCACATTTCTTGTGATGACGATCCACAAACCTTTAAAGCCCATGGAATCAATCTATGTACACAAGGGTAGCCCAATCGATATTCCTGTCTCGAGAGTTCTCAATTCCCTCCAGCATCCGGACGCCGCTGCTCTCAGCCCCATCCTCTTCGTTCTCCGGCGCCGCCTCAGTGGTGTTTCCACCATTGCTGTCATCCTTGTTGTTGTCGACTCCGTTATCCTCCTCCCTCTCGCGGCATCGAGTCTCCAGCAGCTGCAGCCTCCTCCTGAAGTCCCCCATCTCGCTCTCGATCAGGAAAAGCCTCTCCTTCAGCGTCAAGTTCTCCTCCTCGAGCTGCGCAATGTGCGCGTCCTGGTCTTCCACCCTGCTCTCGAGCAGGTCCGCCGCGGTTTTCATGCCTTGCTCCTCTTCCTCGGGGAACACCATCTCGAACCGGCTAACGTCCTGATCCAGCCGCCGCTCCACCTCCAGGTGCTCCTCGACGTCGGTCTCGCTCGACCCCTCCTCGTTCTCATCCCCGCTACCACTGCCGGCCCGGTTCGGTGACCGGAGCCGGATCAGGCCCTTCATCGAGCCGTAGCCGTCCACGCCCCACTCCTCCTTGACCATGTCCGCTAGGTCATCGCGCGTCGGCGAGAACTTGGGGGTCGAGAGGACCGCCGGCGTCACGGGGCACGGCGAGACCAGCGGCGCGATCCCGCCGGATTTCTTGGCGCGGATGATGAAGGAGGTCGTATTCCGGGGGGCAAAGGGTGCGGAGCGTGCGAACTTCTTCTTGGGGAAGAACCTGCGCGCCTTGGCGCGGTTCTGGTACTGCAACTCGTGGAGCGTCGAAGGTATATAACCGGAGACGCCACCGCCACCACTAGGTTCCCTTCTCCCTCCACCGGCCGCTTTCTTCCGCTTGTCAGCAACCTTCTTAACCTTCCAGTTCATCCGACCTGGCATGGCTCCACCCGGGGCGGCGAAGGGCGGTGGAAGAGGCAGAGTGGGGTTCATAAACCCCATCCGGTCCTCCGCCGGGGGCGGAAAAGGCGGCCAGATCCCAAAGCTGCGAGTCATCATCAGCGACGGATCATTCATCGATTCCCGGCCGGTGACGGATCAAAGAACCCTAAAATCCCCTACCCGCGAAGACAACGATCGATCTAACCCTACCTCCGGCCGAACGGTAAGAGATCTTGGACTAAAGAACCTAAGTGTGTACCACACTCAAGATGAAGTTCAAGATCGAAAGAAGAAGACAGGTTTCGTTTCTCTTAGTTCTTCCTCCGACGACGATTTGGTTGTCTTTGCAATAAGAAGGCTCGAGCGGGGGGAGGATTATATTTATAGAGACGAACGGATGAGATGGACGGTGGAGATTTCGTTCGTGTTGGTGGACGGTTGGCATAGCTTTCCGGTTTCTTGCGGTACACGACGCCGAGTCGCGAATTCAGACTCGGATTTGGAACTGCAATTTTTATCCGATTAAAAAACACTAAATTCGAACTTAAGATTTATCACTTATATAATAATATATTAATAAATTAAAATATTTCTATAAAATTATAATAATAATTATTTTTTATTTATATCTTGAAGAATATCGTTGTGGTCAATATATGTCATTTATCATTGCACAGTAATATTGAAATGAAAATGAATTTGAATTGATATTTCTATGGACTTTTAACTCAGTTAATTAATTGGTGACGTATTTTTGACTTTATTTTTGAAATATCTATGGTGAAGAGAAAAATAATCGATGGTACTTTAGATGTTCATAATTTTTTTATTAGTTCGTTTCATATATTAGTTTGCAATTTAAATGATTAAAATGACCTAACCTCTTTACTTATTGTTATATATATATATATATATATATATATATATATATATATATATATATATATATATATAATTAAATAAAATGGATGCATTGAACCATCACTTTAGATGAACCAATCCAATTTATTTTTCATGTAATTGTTTGATTCATCCTTTATATTTATTTCCATGAAAATATTCGATTTATCCTTTATGAATCATTTTTCACATTCAGTTACATTAGTCACCACTATTCAACTTGTATATCATTATTCATTTCATGCCTCTTATTGTTCTATTTATCATCTTTCATGCTCATTTGCCTCTTTTGTTGTCGGTGCATTATTCATCTCACTTTCTCCCCCATCGTCATTATTTTTATGTGTTCTTTTTTATTAAAAAATAAAAAATGATAATAATGATAATAAAAGGAATATAGAGAGAATAAGAACAACAATGACAAATCAAAGGGATAAATGAGTATGACAAAAGGTTGGAAATGAAGATAATGACAGATAAAAGAATTGAGATGAGCATGACAAAAAATAATAAGAGACAACAAAGGAAGAAGCCATATATAGAATCAATTTATTCTGATAAATCGATTTAATCGACTGGTCATCCTTAAAAAAAAAAAAGACAAAAATATACTTATCTTATCACTATATTTGGCAAATAATAACTTAAAAAAGATAAGAATATACTTATCCTATAACTACAACTAAAGTGAAAAATCCACCTAATATAGTTTTTCTAGATAAATAACTCGATATAGATTCAAAATTATTATATTTATTTGTTCATACTATTTACTACCTTATAAATTTTTTATCAAAATGTTTTGTATTTTTAACTCACTTTACCCCTACAAAATTGATTTGTTTTGATCCATCGATTCAACCACGATTTGAGACTGAGATATCAATCATCTCAACCATTGATTTGTCTTTGCTTTCAGTTCTTCATCGGAATTGTCGGATTCTGCCCGAGTCACCGACTCAGTGATGAAACGGGTCGACTCAGGGTTTTGGGCATCGACTCGGTCGAGTCGCGATAGATTTTGCGGGGCGCTTCATAATTTGGGTGTCGAACGTGAATGCTTTGTTACGGCGGTGGGGTTTCGCGCTCCACTCTCTCCTCTCGGTTCCGCGCCCGGCGAGAGCGGCTCCGTCGATCAAGAAACCCTTCACCCTTCTCCTCCTTCCGGGTCGATCCGGTGAGTTCTACGGAAACCCCACTCCGCGTGACGCCCTTCCTCTGGATTGCTCATCGTTCCATCTTTCTTTCTTTGTTTCAAGATTACGTGGTTTCTTGGTTCTTTCCGCTATATTTTTCCATGTAGGAGCTTGCAGCTTTTCGTTCGATCACAGCATCGTCTTCGCTTGGAATTCACCTTTGTTTCCAGCCGTCTGGTTTTCGATTTGGTTTCAGGGTTCCCGTCTTTTTCTCCGTCAGTCGTCTTTACACCCAAGAAATGGTGTCTTGAGATCTTCTTTCGTTTATTTAATTTTTTGGTGAGTCCAAATTCAAGAATTGATCTTTAACATTCTTGAAATCTTCCTCCGTTTTGTTATTGCTTTTTTTGGTCAGTACTTCACTGGAAGCGGTAAATCTAATCGTGATGCCCACATTAGATGCTTTCTTGAATGACCCGCTTTAATGCTGAAAGTAATGGATGATTTGACTTGGATAAATTGGAGTTCAGATTCCATCACATGCTTAACTGCCTGTTTTTTTTTTTTTTCCTAAATCGTCTCTGCTTTACACTAGCATATAAAACGGGGTACAAATCGGTTTCCATTGTATCGTCACTCTGTTTCTTCTTTGTGATCTTGAAACTTTTCATTTCATCAAGCATACTACTTCCATTTTGGAATTTTCAAATCGTGAATGTTCTATATCTCCTTGCATAAGTAAATTGGTTGTCTTCGCTGATGCTAAACTAGATTAACAAGCTTGGTTAATTTATTTTCTTTCTTTCTTTCAGATTCCATTTAAATGGAGAACATAAAACGATTGCCAAGAAATGTTCATGGATCCTTGAGATCCGGTGTTGTCATGTTTGACTTGCCGAGAGTGGTGGAAGAGCTGGTGAATAATAGTTTAGACGCGAATCCCACTAAGGTAATTACAATTTCAGCTTGTTACAGTTTATCTTATCTGACCCTTAATGTGTTTTCTAGTTTACCCGGTTATTTTACTTCATTGTCTTTCAATCTCCTACTTGCTAAATAATTGCTTCTGTGGAACTTCTGGTGATGGTCCATCAGGGTCCTAACATGTAGAACTTTCCATGCTTTAACTTGGGTTGCCCTTGGTAAATTATCATGGCTCTAATGTGAAACTGAGATGTCAATTGATCTATAGGGTCCCTGAAACTGAGATGTCCATTGATATATTGGGTCTGAACTCTGAATAAATGAATTCTTATAAAAAAGAAGAAGGTCAAACTAAATCTGGCTTGACTCTACTTTGCTTTCAGCTTCACCAATAAATAAGAAAAATATATATTTTTTAAGAGAGTGCCCTATGATATTTACTTTCTTTGTCATGGCATCCTATTTAGTATTCCTTTAAGATTTTGGACTCTCTTTCCTTTGCTTTCTTCTAATATACCCTTTCCTCTTTGTTTCATAGTTTTGCATGGCTATTGTATTGATAGCAAGGTTTGAAATATCGTACTGTACCGACGTTTCGACATTCGCTCGGTACGGTACGATACTGTATATTGAGCGATATACCGTTCGGTATACCGCTCGGTATATATATATATTTATATATATATATATATATATATATATATATATATATAAAAATTTGACGAACGTCGTCGAAGCAACATCACCTCTCTCTTCTCCCCAGGCGGGGCGATGTCGCCTCGTTTATATATATATATATATATATATATATTTTTTTTTTTTCCTTCTCCCACACGGGGCTTCGTCGTCGAGGCGATGCGACGTCGCTTAAAAAAAAAAAAACATATATATATATATATATATATACCGTCTGATAATGGGAGGTCCGTGTATCGGTCAACCGACGGACCGGTACATACCGCCCGGTACGAGTGGTATTATTCGAAACTGTATACCTTGATTGATAGTATTGACAGCCAACAAATGTAATGACAATGGATGACAAACATGAGGACAATGACGTGCCCTACGTCACTTGGCTTCTTTTTAATCGTCTCCCATTGCTTGGTAGTGTTGCCTTCCTTCCACTCTTCTTTTGTTTCCTTAAAAAATTATAAATTATCTGGAAATTTCCAAAATTAGTCAAATAAACCAACTCCATTTTTAGCTGGTTCATCTGATTTTGGTGATATGACTGAGAAATATGTTCAAATCATATCGGCCTTGGTGTCTTGTTATACAAGTCAATTAATTTGATACACATGGGAATAAAATGATATGGTGAACTTTGTGTTTTATTCTATTTAGATTAATGAACTCAGGTATTCATGGAAATAACCTCTAAGATATGTCTTTTGCCAGAAATCCCTTGTGTTATCAGCCAGATGCTAGAAATGAGGCTCACATTGAATGAGAGCATTATTTTCCTAGACGAGTACACTTAACGTTTCTCAACAGACCAATAGTATGGCTCTTTAAGCTGTTATGGTTGGTTGGTATTTAGATGTTGACTTTTGTTTGATGTTTTTGTGGGTTTAAACTGTCTTTTTGTGAATATTTACCAATCAAATCCTATAAGCTGTCCTTTTATAAGAATGAGGAAAATTGCAAGCTAGTGCAAGCCAGGTTTGGCACTGGACAGAACAAGTGTTACCACTCAGTAACTCTATTGAACCAAGCTTACCATCATAGTTGAAACCAGGAACACTAAACGACAAGCCTATCACCCGACACCCCTATTATTTATTATTTATTTTTGATTATTGTCTCCCACTTTTATTTTTTCTTTTTTAATCTATCCTCCCATGCTCTTCTCTTGCTTTCTCCCTTTCTCTCACTTTATCTTACCCCTCCTCCTTGGCCTCTTCTCATTGCTACCTTGCTCCAGTTGCTCTACCGCTCCTTGCCACCGTTTCCCCATGCTGCATCACAATTGCTGGTTCCTCTTCCTTTGATATGCTTCTTCCTTCTCTCATCTTCCTTTGTATCCTCTTCCACCAAGTTTGAATCTAGAAGTATTGGCAAAGGACCAAGAAACCACCATGACATGAAAAGGGAATCCTATCAACTTACTCTTTCAAATCTAAGAATATAAGCTCATGAGCTTGGTCCTATTTCACCGTTGGGAAACAAACCATGCACCACATATATCCATGTTGCCTGGGACATCGTTCCTTACTTTCGTCTAATGAAATTACATGCTTCGCCACTTCTGCGAGCACCATCGATTACTTTTTTCATTTTTTGCAAGTATTGTCCCAGGCGAGATACTTAACATGTTAGCTACTTTTCTTTCTTGTTCACTTCCCCATTGTTGGTAGGACCTTCAAATGTGATCCAGCAGTTTCTTCAAAATTACATTCCAAAACTTCAACAAGTTTATATGGGGCTTTGCAAATTTGACCATATTAAACTGGTTGGAGTTGGAAAAAAAAAAAGAAGAGATGAAACCTTCCATTTTTGGTAAATAACTTGTCATCACTATGAGGGACATGCCTTATTAAGAAAATATTTTGATGGTATTTATATTCTTCTATATGAGTCATATTGTTTTCTTTTGCAAAAGTTGATTCACTGGAACTAATTTGACCTTACAAAGTTAGTTGAAACTTATGGTTCGACACACCCTCTAGTATCGAACTTAGATGACAGAGTCTAATTAAATGAATGGTTTGATTTTCTTTTTTTTGAAATCCTCTCACTTAAATTGGATCATGTACGTCCTTCAGGATAACCTTCGATCTGATTAAATCTGTTTGACTCCGTAATTGGTTGTATTTGATTTTGCATCCTAACATTTAATCACTTCTTTTTCAGGTTTCTGTCTTTGTTAATGTCAGAACTTGTTATATCAAAATAGAAGATGATGGTGTGTAAATGCCTGGTCTCACAATTCTTACTATTTCAACCTGTTAATTATACTACATGCATGTATCTTTTAACTTCTCTTTGATTCTAGGTTGTGGTATTACAAGAGATGAATTGGTCATTCTGGGAGAAAAATATGGTCTGAACTCCTCTCTCAACATTTTGTTACAATATAAATATTGAATCTGCAATTTAACCAAGGATTTAGTTGTCTTGTATTGTTTTTCATCTCACCAGTAGCTAGCAGAATAATACTGCATGCATGTACTTGCAAGTGCAGTACTATGTGGCGGTGCACTGACATGTGGCAAGTTATGCAACTTGCACTTGGCCATTGTGCTAGCTTGGATCATCAAGAAATTTCTAGTGGCAGCTGGTAGCTTAATTCATAGTTCTGACAATCTAGAATAATTTTATGCATGGTAGATGGTTTTTCTATATCATCTCTTGTTTCTGATTGCGATTTGTGTTCTGCAAATTAGATACACACCTTTTCCTGCTGCAATTTTGTTTCTTTGTTGTCTGGGAAACATTTTTATGTTAAAATGTGAAAATAGATAGTATAGGGACGCACAGGCAATAACTTAAGATATTACAATCTCTATCTGGTTCTTCAGACAACATATTTTTGACATGCTTGACATAATGTTTAGAGGGTTGTTCTATGAAAATCTTATTTTTTTTTTATTATTCACTATGTTTATAGTATTTAAAAATCATTCATGAGAGGGTAGTTGAATCATTCATGGATGGGCATGCACTAGCAATGGCGTATGTAAAACCTTTCCGGTTAGATTCATCAAGCAGTTTGCATTTTGAACATACATGCAACATGCTGTAATATCCCAATTATTTGGAGCTGACTACATGGATATTTTCCTGCCATATAGCTTTGTGTAGGGAAATATCTCCTTTGTAACATAAATGCCTGGTCTATACTGCGATTGGCCTGCTTTTACAAATCATGCTTCTTCAGCTCCTCAATGTATCATTGCATCTTCTGGGTACCGCAAGCAAATAAGTGTCTGCTAGCTTTTTAGTTTTACTAAGGATTACCACCTATAGTGTTGCTTGGGCATTTAATTAGTGCATTGGGGTTGTATTAGTTCACAATTTTTAGATCTATTATAATGTCAACAGAATCAAATGAAGCATATGACATGGGGCCTTGGCTTAAATCTTGATACTTGATCTTAAGTCCTTTCTGTCAGCTTATGATAATAGCTTATCTTGTATTTTTGATGATTTTCAGTTTTCTAAATAACTCATGTAATATTGTCTTGTGCAATTTCTCAACTTACGTGGAAAGCATTGCGTTCCTTTTTCTTTATCACAATTTCCATACCTCTGAAACTGCTCTGTTGAAGTAATATGATTACATTTTGTGAATTCTTACTGATGCAATTCGCAACAACCATCTTCCTGGGAAAACATATTATTCTCCTTAACATTCTACAGAAAGACTGTAAGTGCACCCACCTTCGGGTACATGTGTATAGTCATTATATCACATTGTCTACGGGACACATTCTACTGCCTTTTAAATAGAATATTTCTTTGCAAATAGGAAAATTAAATAGTCATATTTAATGTTATTTTGTTCCTGGTGGACAAAGGTCCTGTCTTTCCTGAGTCCAGACAGAAATCTGTCCAGATTTGTACATCAAGTGGTGTCTACTTAACAATAACTAGAAGAAAGTGTAGATGCTTAAGAGGGAGCTTTGTGAATACCATATGTTAGACCTAACCCATCCCTATCGACCACTTACTCAAACTTGAACATTTTCAGCATGGTAATTTTTAATGAAAAGATGACATGCTTCTTCTATCTCAAGATCAACCTTGGGTCCTCAGCATACCCAAGATTAATTACAAGTTTAAGCTCCAAAAGTTGGTGTAGAAAGAGTCGGTAAAAATTTGTTATTCAATCGGAGAACCATTTTGCACATATCAATAGAATTCTGTCTTTAGACATTCAGTTTGTGTGACTTTGCCATTTCTGGTTCAAGTCAACTTTGTATTTTATCTATTTGTCACTTTGAGCCTTGAGCATCCTGATCAGGGAAGCAGAGTTCCTCTCTTTCTCTCTCTCTCTCTCTCTCTCTCTCTCTCTCTCTCTCTCTCTCTTAATAAGGAGTTCTTTTCCTTTCACCTAAATGTAATTTGGTTACAAGTTAGAACTTAAGAAAGTGCAATCTAGGAAAAGTATACTGGTTAGTAGGAAGTTTCTTTAGTAATAAATTAGCACTTTTATGCGAAATTAGAATTAGCCGTTTAAGTCTTGGTTTTAGTGTAGCTCATTGGGTTTTCAATTTTGACATCAGAAGGCAGGTGGTTCCAACAGTCCAGAGATGATTTCTCAACAGTATTAGTTGGTAAAGACAGACAAGAAAACTGAAATAATAAGGAAAGTTATTTATTGAAGTGTAATTTTTGGTTTTACAGAAAATTGCTGATGGTGATTGCTGATTTTAGGCTGAAAGCATAGGGATCACAAAATATGGTAAAGTGTTGAAAGGGAGAAGCAAATACACACACACACATATTATATATATATATACACTCCAAAATTCGTGCGTACCTATGGATGGTGACTAGTTTCAATATCTTGAGACTTTCTAACATGACACAAACTCTGGGTTTCATATCAGATTTGTATAAATTAGTTGTTGATGGTTTTGCTTTTACTCAATGGTTGATTATGTTTTATTTAAGAGGATAGATGAAACTTCAAAAGTTGGTAGAAACTTTAGGCATCAAGAAAAATATAAAATATGCTAGCATTTTTTTTTCCTTTAACATAGAAATCTATCATTTGTTTGATTTTGTAAGTACTTTAAAGCAAGGTTCGTCGTATCGTACCGTACTGGCGTTTCGACCCGGGTTCGGTACGGTGTATCGAGCGGTACACATGATTTCACCGATTTAACCCTTCGAAAATACCTGAAAATTAAAAAAAAAGTTAGGATAGGGTTTTCAAGTTACGAATAAATATAGTAATAGTATAAGTTTAGCAAAATCAATGTAAATTAGGTAAGAATAGTATCATATATCTTTTTCGGGCTTTGAGGTAGTCTTGTTCGAGGTTCGTATTTCAGCTCGTTATAGATTGAAATATCTACAGAAAAATCAGTTGAATTGTTAGACTATTTTGTTACAATATAAACTCTAAAATTCAAATGAATTAAATAATCATATATCTAGATATACCTGATTATTGATTCTACCACCAAAACGAACGACGGGACTCTACGGGTGGTGGATCGGGGTCCTCGATCCGATACATGTCAATATGATACGTTTGTTGGACCCAATAATGAAATTGATCCCATGACATAGTGTATTGATACACCATATGCCATTGATGCATCAATGTGGTGCTGATCGTAGATTGATCGTCATGAATCATATTTGTCCGAGGTAGCTTTTGAGCCATATATTGGTGCTGTTCTGTATTATGCTATTGCTTAGAGAAGGATGACCAACTATCACCATACTGTTGT